AAAAATTTATTTTATAAAGACAAGTAAAGATCGATATATACGTAACCTAGTTAGCTATAGTAATGTAGAACGTTTTAATGCTATAAAAAATATTGAAACAAGAAAGTCAAAACTAAAAACTGAGTTATTTATAATTAAAATGATATCCCTATTCAGTGATTTTTGAGTAGCTACACATCGATTGAGGTCACTCAGTTTTTGTAGTTTTGACTTTCTTGTTTCATTACCTTTTGTAACATTAAAACTTTTATATGTCACGATATAAGACTATTATTGACTCGTGTTGTATGATTATTGTTATATTATTTCGTTTGTTTTTCTCATTTTGATGTTGTATTTTGCGTTGGTGACTTGTTGTTGTTGTCGAGAGTATAGAATGGCACGTGAGAACTGAAAGTGAAGGGGTGGAGGCAAAGCAAAGATGAGACGAGAGATATAAAGTGTGGTGGGGGGGGGGAGAACGTCCTATGTTAAAAGACGGTGAACTACGAGAGTTTGTCGATCAACAAAAAGAACTAGAGAGAAGAACGTCAACAGAAAAGACAAATTGAGAAATATTGAAAGTATAAAGAGAAGGATTAAAGGAAAGGGAAGAAAAAGGAAAGATAGGAAATGGAGAGAGAAAGAATAAGAATACAGATTGAAAAAAGAAAGGGAGAGAGACTAGCAATAGAGAATAAGAGCACAAATTGAGATTGCAAAACTCACCCAACCGAAGAGAGTCGGGACTAGCCGATCCAAGTGACCCAATTGTGATGAACATGGAGATGACATGGATGCTTTCCTGGAGAGATATTAAAGATTCGCCTAAAGTGAAAACTGGGACAAAGGCGACTGGGCAGTCTGTCTCAATCCACTTCTCACAGGAAAAGGCCTACAAGTATATTCAGGCATGACGTCAGAAGATACCATGGATTCTGATGAGTTAAAAGTAGCTTTACTGAAACGATATGAACTTACTGAAGACGGTTTTCGTGGGAAGTTCAGAAGAGTCCAACCCGCCACTGGAGAAACTATTTCAGTTTGTAGCACGTCTGCGGCGTTATTTCACCAGATGGACTGACGTGGCCAGTTATGAAAATAGTTTTGAAGGATTAGCAGATCTATTAGTGCGAGAACAGTTATTATCACGTGCTCAAACGATATGTCACTCTTCTTAAGTGAGAGAGAGAGCACCAAAAGATGTAAATGAGATGATCCAGCTGGCAAAACAGTATTTGGAAGCCCGTGGAGGTAAAATAATTGACAAGTCCAAGAATATCCAGTTAAATGTGAGGCAGTAATGACTGACCAGAAGCAGGTGCTTACCAAAGGTGACAGGAGGTTAAGACAGAAAGGAGAAGAGATGCTATGTTTATTATAAAACTGGACATATTGCAAAGGACTGCAAATCCAGTGCCAGCAAACAACAGATGAAACCTCACAAAAAGCAGCTGGAGCTATTTACAAAGACAGTGCTGATGAGAAACGAGTGACTGTCATTATGGATGTTGCTGCCAGAAGAAAGAGAACCAAGGCTACTCCTCAGATTCAATACAAAAGAAAATGACTGATCACTGCACGACTAATGGTCAGCTCAAATTAGGAAATGGAGCACGTGACAAATATCAAGAGGTGCCAACAAATGATAATATGCCAATATATAAAGGCTATGTTGGGGACGAGAAAGTAAAGGTTCTACTAGACTCTGGATGTAGTGGTGCAGCAGTGAGAACTAGTCTGGTATCCGATGATCATGTGATAACTAAGGTGCGGCTGTGTGTGCTAATCGATGGGACAGGGCGAAAATTCCCCATAGCAAAAATAAGGGTGGATACTCCACATTATGTAGGAGACTTTGAGACCATGTGTGTCAAGGAACCAATATGACTTTGTAATAGGAAACGTACTATTGTGTAGCTATGTGCTTACCTACAAACAACCGGGGAATATAAGGGAATACACTGTTTCATCTGTTTGTCTAACTGTAGCGGCAGTATACATCATAGTGTTGATGTGATGTCTCTCTTTATGCACATCAAAAAGCTTAAATAAAAGGCTTCGGTCAAATATAAAACGTCACAATGTTAGCTTGACGACTTCAACTGTTCATTTTCCTATAAATGTTGTTGCGTCATCGAGTCACATGACTACTGTGACGCAACGTTTCTAGAACTATCATGTACTTTGGCGAATGTTCTAGTTCTTACTAGATATAGGGTAGGCTGGTATATAAAAGAGGGGATTGTAATGTGTGTGTAGACAGTGAGTAATTGAACTGCAGTCACAGGGTATTGTTGAAGTTAACGTTCGTTCGTGATACTGTTTGTTTTAGCGCGAATATTGAGATTAAGTGTATCGTAACGTTATATTCGGAAAGAATAAACCAGTTTTATTAAGTAAAGACTTGTGTCGTTAAAGTTTCGTCGGAACGAAGTTACGGAAAAATCAATTAACAAACGGAGACGTAACAATGTCATAATGTTAGTTAACTAGACGATTTCTGATGTTTGTCTCTATACGCGAAAATAACTGGTGTATTTTAAAATGCATCATTGCATAAAATTTCAGTTGCTAGCACAGCTAATCAAATTACATTAATAGCTCAAACTAAGGAATCCGAAGTCTAAAATAGAAAACAACATGTAAACGAATGGGGTGGGGTAGTAGTCTTATATTTGGTTTAGTTTGTTTCTTATATTAGCACAAAGCTACACAAGAGATCTGTACTAACCGTCCTTAATTTTGTACTAATAGACTAGAACGATAAAGGAGACGGTCAACCATACCCATTGCCAGTTCTTTCTAAAATAGAAAACAACATGTAAACGAATGGGGTGGGGTAGTAGTCTTATATTTGGTTTAGTTTGTTTCTTATATTAGCACAAAGCAACACAAGAGATCTGTACTAACCGTCCTTAATTTTGACTAGAACGATAAACGAGACTGTCAACCATACTCATTGCCAGTTCTTGGACTATTTTAATCAAATAGTGCGACTGGACAGTCGCTGTTATAACACCCCAAGGCCTCTTATTGCGGAGCGCGATGTTTTGACGGTTACGGGACTTGTTACATAGTTCGGCACACTAAATCTAGTCTACGTACCCCTGCTCATTCTTATATTGTAGTGTAAAAAAAAATTTCAGTTCTAGAGTTATTGATTTGTTAACTTTGATCTCTACGCAACTTTTAGGGTCAATGAATTTGATCAGAAGTCCGTTTAACCGTTGTCCTACTTTTTTACGTTAACTGGTGAATACAAGAGGAAACTCAATGTTCTTATTTACTTGTTTGAATTCTAAGTGAAATTCTATTTCGAGGGTACTTGAAACTCAAACTGATGTTAAGTGCGTCTTCATGTATAGGTTTAACATCTTAAGATTTTCTTATTATTATTGCCTGTCTTTAACCCAAACTGGTCGAATCTGTTGTTTTAGCATTAAAGCTCATCTAAAATTTAATATGACAGAAACATTTTAACTTTCATAATTTTTTTTTTCTTATCTTAACGGCATATAAAAAATGAATCGTACATATCCATAATTACAAAGACGTATCACTGTTATGAAATAAAAGACTGTTTCATTCAGGTATTATCGATTGATTTAGTTTTGTGAGTGATTTTTATTATTATTCTTTAGTTTTTGTTATAATAAGAGTTAAAGGCAGATGTTTATAGAAAGCATTGTTAATAATTCAGTATGTTCAGAATATCGAGCGTTACGTGCAATATATTGACGTCGAGAATAGAGAAGTAGGACAGACGATTATGTAATAAAATTATAAACAGCGTGAGACGAGCGGTAAGCAGCAGACAAATATTAGCAAAAGAGAATAAAGTAGGTGTGAAGTTAACTACCGTAGAAGTGATAGGCCTAACGTTTAATATGTTATAGTGAAACATATCTAACTGTAGATAAGAAAAATAATTTTATTCCGTCAAAGTGTGGTTCTAAAGTAATTTAATCAGCCTGGGTACAGTTTGATAAA